CAAAACGATCGTTTATTTATTTCGAAGAAAGAAATAAAGGCACAATGCCCAGAAAGCAAATCTCATGCGCCAAACAAACAAGCTGTCAGAATGTAAATTCTGGCAGCGCGGATCTCCAGTGAATGAGCAACCGATCGCAGATCGGTCAAGCAAAAAAACAACTCGCACGTGCAAGTGCGCAAAAGTGCAACGGAAGTGGCGCGACTCTGCCTATCTATAAGGCAGCACCAACCTCTAACACCGGCTAACTGGTTCGGCCTGAGCTGAAGACAATGGAGGGTAGCAGGCATCTGGGTCGGCACCCGGATGTTTGTTCTGTAATTCTGCGAAAGTAGCTGCTGTGCGCGGTGCCAAGGCGTCTTCGGAGCAAAGAACGCGAACAGCACCCGATACATCGCCATTTTGGATTTTTCCCTGCACAAATTTTTGCAAGTCAAAAGGCTTTAGTGGCTGAACTGTAGCTAAGGGAATATCCTTTACACCTGACTCATAATTAGCGATGTTGGACTTAATTAACGTAGCAAGGGATTCAGTGCGGTCATTCTTGGTTCTTCCCGGCAAACGAAAAGCAAAATATGCAAAACTAAGCAAAGCTTCCCATGATTGTAACAAGAACAACAATCCTTGACATCATTGCCGTTTAGCTAATTTAAAGGCAAAATACACATCTTGCAAAAATATGCATCTCTTTGTCACCCAGCAGTCAGACACCATGCTATGTGCAGCGCCACGATGGGAATCCTTTGGAACCTGACAAAGTGGTAAGATTTCAGTAATTCGATTTGGGCAGGCCCGGAATGACGTTTTTTAAAGGAATGGGGCGGGTTTAGGCAGAAAAATCGCCGCGGTGGAAGCGGAGCTTAATTTTGTAAATCCGCCGGGAGATGGACCGTTTTTAAAAAAAATCTTTTATAGGATGTTTTGAAAAATCGTACAAAATTTGTAAAAAACTTCAAAGCAATCAGAAGAACTAAAAAAACTCGAATTTAATTTAGATCTTAAAAAAAATCGAAAAACTGAATATTAACACTTCAGTTCCTTCTAAAACTTCCACGATTTTTTTCAAATTTTAAATGAATTTTAAATTTTGAAATTCATTTTAAAAATTGAAAAACATGCCAGAACATCGGATCGATGTAAGAACGATCTTCTTGGTTATGTTTGTTTGTTTAATGAGATTAATGTCTACAACAATCAGGGATGTCCTGCACGAGGTTATAGACTAACATGGGAGAAAGGCTATCACATGAGTGATAGCCTTACATATAAAACATCGCAGACATAAACAACAGTTTTAAAGTAAACAGTAATGATCAACATGAAGTTGAAGGAAACGCTTAGTCCATTTTAAATCCGCCCATTCAACAGTATTCAGGCAAGAGTCAAAACTGGTGATGCGGTTGTATGATTCCTGGGGCAGCTTGATTTCGTTCCACAAGTGCGCCATCAAATAAGCAAAGCTGCGCTCGCTGATGAACTTCCGTCCGTCTGGGGTGCACGTGTCCACGGGTTCCACTGCGTAGGGATGTTCATCGAGGGACGTTATTTGGCGTGTTCTACCTGCAATACAAACAGCGGCAGCACCAAGTTTTTCACGAAGCTTGAAAAATTTTTCTCCATAAGGTACATTAACGTACAAAATTTGAAGGAGATCGGTCCATAATGAGACTTTTGGTATACCGGAATGCACTTAAAATTTTTGGAATTCTGGTTCACCCATAACTTCCCCACCGGATGCTGCGCGCGCAAACAGATTTTACGTCTTATCTACCGTCCCGTGACTTTTTCAGCTCTCAGGCCTGCATAGACCGGGTCCTGCTCATGCATACCGGTTCACATTAATGTATTTTTGCAATTAAATTTTTCTTGACTACTGGTCACCTACGTGAACAAATCCTTTAGCTACAAGATACCGTGAAGCAATGCAGAAAAGTGGCTGAGAGTGCGTGACAGCGAAAGTTGCCGTGGTTGTACACGAATTTGGTGCTATGTACCGGGCCAAATCCCTTAACAGCGGCGTTTCTAGATCCAATCTAAAAGAATTAAACCGTTACAGACAGACTGTTGCAGACTAAACCGTAACCCTGTTTTAGGAAAAGGTTTACGCCTCAGCCCAGCGCGAAAACAAGAGTGATCGCAGAGTCATGGCAACGCAGCATATGCTGCTTGACTTGACGGATCCACCCGGAAATCCCGATAACAGTTATGGAGCGAGCCTTCCGCTAGCGCCAGAACTGTTAGTGGGGATCTTTCAGGCGCTGGACTCCATCGGCCGTATCCGTTGTCGGCGGGTCTGTGCACTGTGGAACATAATCCTCGGCACGGACGCTGACTTCCCCGATGTGCGCGTGTCCGGCGAACACGCGGATTATGGCATTTTGCCATTCCGTATGATCGACCTGTACTGGCTGCCGGCTTGCCTCCTGAATTGCCTCTGCAGCGCCACCGAGGTGGTGGTTATTACGGACCTAGAAATATACCGCTGCCTCGACCTCGATCTGCTAAATGAGATCCTCAACGGCAGCCGCATACGGGCGCTGGTGCTCTACGAGTGCAGCTTCGACAATCGAGATAACCGTTCCATCAGCACGACGTCTACGCTGTCTTTAGATGAGAGTATGGCTGAGCTGATCGGGAAATGTTCGCAGTGCGACAGAGTGATATTAAAAAAGTGCGTTATCTATGACAACAGCTACCATATTATCTGTATGCTGGCAGTGGTGGGACAACATTCATTCGGGGCGCAGTCGCGCGAAGAAACAGACAGGTAGCTGTGGGATGTCTTCGAAAGTAATGTCGTGCTTGACCAGCCGCTCGATCGGCCAGTACTGGCGGAATGGATTGCTGTCTGCATGGCGCACAAGCAAGACGAGCTGATTGAGGAGCACCTTGTGACGGTTAGTAAATAGGTGATCTGAGTAGTATGTCAGGTCCATGACGGTCCGGCCTCTGTTTTGCCTGTCAGCAGTTTGCTGACCGGCAGGCTTCTTACTATTCTTTGGGTTTTAGTGTTTTCTTATGGTTTCTTAGGTCTTTTTTTCTACATTTCCTAATTTCGAGACGTTCTTGCGTGAATTAGCGGCTCCGCGACATTTTGCCGAAGACAAATAGTAGAAGGATGTTATTCTGGTTTAGTCGAAAGCATTTTATTGGTAACTTCTCCCACCGCGCGATCTTTCATCGGCAGAACATCACGCCGCGAGACACATCGCCGCAGTTCGTTTCGACGTCGAGACATCTCGACCATGAGACAAATAGTTTACGAAGTTTTTTAAAGCAGTCAGTAAACTTTAAAGAACCAAGTAAAGGAAGGAAAACATAGAAACATTATATGAAAAAACATTAGGATAATACAAGAAAACATCAGCAGAACGAACAAGAAATTTGTTTGGGAAAGCTTGAAAATTTTTGAAAATTAAGGGCGTTGAACTCTTATGCACTGAAATGTCACACTATTCGATCGTCTCAAGGAGAATTATGTCTGGCACGGGCAGCAAAATGTCGCACAGCGACAGAGTCTCAAAGCAGTTTGTCCTAAACCAAAATGTCTCAGCAGCAGTATCTCCCGCAGCGAAAGCGTCTTCCGAACTCGAGTACGGGGAAATATGTCACACTCTTAGTTGTCCGGCTGCATGGACTAGTACTGACAATCGAATGCTTGCAGGCACTGAACTGCTACCAGAGTGTGGACCCGCGCCCGTCCACCCACTACCGGCACCGTACGTGGACCGTGTCCAACATCTTCGACCTGGATGCCACGAAACTGACGACACTGACGGCGGACGCCTTGAGCCAGAGTATTAATGGCTAATCTCCCGTTGACGGAATGTAGCCTTACTCGTAGCGATCAGTACTTTAATCTCTTCACTCGTACCTGCTGTTATTCCTTGTAATTTTTCGAATGTTCACTATTGGTTGGGGCTGCGTTTGGTTTTCTGCACGGATGTGTTGTGTCTTGCGCGTGCGCCTATACCCATAAGTCCTTGAGTAGCAGGACTTAGGGCATCAGTTGACCAGTTCTTCCATTCTGGCAGTCCATTTTAGCAGTCTTTGGAGTTTGTAATTAAATTATCGTCGCAGATGCGGTTTCTCGCTTCGCGTAGATTCATAAGCTTAGTTATGCCACATTGATATATCAGTTCATACCCTGTCGTTGAGTAAGGTCGTTAGGATAGGTTATTACGGTAATTATTCCTATCATACTGGTCTTTTCGTCACCGTCAACAGGAACGAACGATAGGAAGGCTACCGGCACGGCGGCATCTCTTATCGTCTTGTACTGCAAGTGCACTGCATCACACAGTATGTGATAGTACGCAAACTTTTAATTGTTGTCTGGCCCCGCCCGCTTGACGATGGCAGCTAAAACTATTTTTTGGAGCATACTCCAATAGTACACTACCATTTTACAAAACATGAGAATTTTTTGAATTTGGAGGAGGAAAATGTTCCCTGGTAAGATGGGTAAACTACTAAACTGACTCGATCTTTTGCATGCATTTGAAATTAATAATGTTAACAGATTATTTGATTTGTTGTATTGTACAGAAAAATTAGAGGACTGGCAAAATACTATCGCCATTGCATTCGCTCAGCGAACAAGTAATCCAAACGCAAATGCTGCTGTTAACGAGTAATGGAAGCTAGGAGCGCACTATATTTACTGCAAATTACGGATGAAGACTATTGTACCAGCGGTGCCGAAGTTTGCTGAGCGGGAAATTGCTTGCTATTACACTACGCCGTTCTTTCGCTCTCATTGAGGCAAGAGCATGTCCTTACAACTTGAAAACTACAAGAAACCGTATAATACGGTATTTGGTTTTTTCTCTTTAGTTTGAAACCACCTGAAACTTCTGTTACATTTCCATATTTCAGCATTTATAACTGTACTTACGCGCAACACGTAAAACCACTTCTTTAACGATATTTTCATGCTCTTCCCCTTGAATGGTTCTATTAAATTGATCAGCGGATCAAAATGACTCACGCTCGCCAGACTTTCAATTTTGTCGTTTCGCTTTGGCTAAAACCGTCTACGCGCAGACATACATTCTGTCGCAAAATTTGTACTGCGTAAATGTACGAGTGAAAGGTCACGATGTACAACATCCCAGCAAACCAGAACCAACAGTCTTGGTGCTGATTTACGAAACGAAACTAGTTTATTGACAAGCATGCGCTTTCTAGAAACTGGCCTGCTGTGCGGAAGCCGGACCGTGACAACGCACTCTATGACTAACTGCGGCAGTCGCTAGAGTGGGGAAACGCACTTCAACTTCGTCGTCATAGCCACACACCAAACATAAAAATACCCAGCAGAATCTCCGACGATGGCCCGCCAAGGATGACGGCGGCTAGCCGGGGTACATGGTGACCCGTCGCAGACGGGAGATTCCTCACCGCCTACAAAATGCCGTCGTCACTGGGCTTCATGCCACAAAGAATGTATAACACCAGCAAAGAATGTAACGCCATTACATTTGTACTCGTGCAAAGGAGTTTAACGCTCATTTTCCTGCATATTACTGTATGTCATACTACCGGAAGCAAACAAGCCAAGACAAAGATAGTGTCTGATATATCTGTATTTCGGTTTTTCGCATCTATCAGCCACTGCATACTGGAAGTACTTCTATTCGTCCTCGTTAAGTGGTCACGAAAGTATTCCTTAAGACAACGAAATTTTCAGAAACCATCTTTTATCAGTTGAAAAAACTTTGCTTGTGAAAATATATCACTGATCTGCTCGCATAATAGCCAGATCCTGCTGCATGGCCTTCACTGCCACCGCCAGCTTATCGATGGTCGCCTGCTGGGTGGTGATGGCGGTCCCTTGCGTGCTTATGTTTGCCTCCAGGTCGACGATCCGGGCTTGGTGGTTGGCGATGGTGGACCGTTGGGCACTGATGGTGGTCCCCAGAGCGCCAACAGCAGCCTCCAGGCTGACGATTCTGGCCTGGTGGTTGGCAATCGTGGACTGTAGGGCAGTGATGGTGGTCCCTTGGGCGTCGACGGTCGCCTTCAATCTGGCGTTCCTTATCCGGAGCTGACCGATGTCTTCCCGCAGGCACTTGTTAAATTGCAAAAGCATCTTGTCTTTTCCTTAAGGGATGGCAGCTGCTGATTCTGGGCCTGCAGTTGCTGGTTCTGTTTCTGCAACAGCTGATTCTGCTGAGCCTGCAGCTGCTGGAACTGCTTTTGCAGCAGATTCAGCTGAGCCTTCAGTTGTGCCATGTTGTCAATGGCCTCTTGAAGCAGGGAGACCGGCACGTGCTCCTGTGCAATGGCTAAAATCAGAATCAACTATCAGATTTGCAAAATAACAGACAGGTTCCTAACTCACAAAATTATTACCCTTGCAGTTTATAAAGTGTTAATCATTTTAACTACTTTCTACCAGCGCACATTTTGTGTTATCTGAATTGGCTATTGCAGGATTAAACGTATTCCGCTAAAAATACACTGAGATATTTAAATAAACTAATAGACCTCGGGCAAATTCGAAAAAGTTCAAGTTGTCCGCAAGTATCATTATCAAGCTTCAGCGGAAATTCAAAGCCAGTAAAAAATCACACAATTTATTGTAATTCTAGATGCATAATGCAAAGTTAGTTTGAGGAAGGTCATAGTCATATAGTTGATTGGGTCATTTCCGGATTTCAACTTTACCGTATCGGCACTTTGGCGACATCGTTAGTTATATTACTATAGAAAACGTTGCACCACGCAGAGTCAGGCCAAGTTAAGTGATACGATTTGGCTTATGAAGAGGATCGGGAATGATGCAGTTACGCTGACTATGGCATTGGCAATTGTGTCAAACTGGAAGCTGGCACCAGTATTTTCCCGTCGCTTAGAAAAGGAATGTGGTAGTCGAACTCGGTGCCACAAGATAAGGACCAATTAAGAAATGGCGAGATCAGTGTGCATCAAAAACTGTCCAAAGAACAGCATATAAGCGATCTTGTAAATTGAGTGTACCTGCAACAAATAACCTGCTCTTAAAGTGCGGCAGACAGTTCTAGTGGTAAAAGTCGCATTACATGCATTTTTCCATTCTAATGGAATTATTGTGCATTCTTAACATGGAAAACGATGCGAAGTTACGGTGCTTAATGTTTCCCATGATGCATTATGGCAAATGCGGGGACCATTTTCTGCGATTTGAGGGGCCCCAATGCGCCAATACATATACATAGAAAATGGGAGCGAACGAAATGCCACAATAAACAGTCAAAAAGATTTACGTCGTAGTAGCGCATGACGGAATACCCTGAGATAAGCACGACAAGAGCAGCGTAGAGAGGATCGCTAAGTTTGTTAAAAGGATCTCGTAGTGACTGTACCATGCGCTGTCCTCGGAAGGCTTTGTACTGCATCTCCGGTGGCTATGAAACAAGAAGCGATGTTCTCGAAGCGTCTGTCAAACGGTAAGCAGTCTGCGTGTTGTTCGAGAAAATCCAAGTCAATAAGGAAGTTGCATTGGGAGTCTAAATCCACAATAAGTCCACGACAAAATGCACCATCGTCATCCTGGACGTCCACGGCACCGGACTATCATCGAACAGCACCAGATACAATACAATAAACTGGGAGCAGTAGCCTTAAGGAAGCCAGAAATCGAGCATTATTCAAGTCTTCACTGAATGCGGCAAGCTCTTAGGCTTGCTCTCGCATATACAGTACTGTAAATCAATATACGGTATGTGAATGCACGGCATGACCATAATAATTATATCGTCCCGTGTAAGAGGCTTCTGCAGCTGCCTTTTCCATGGTTCGGATAATCAATATCGATCCTTAACGGTGAGCTGTAAGGAGCAGTGGTGATCAGCTGGTGCACTGAGTGACTGAGATATAGGGTGTGATCCCGCCCTGATGTGATGGAGAGGGGATTTGATCGGAATGTGAATTGTCAGGTGATGGGATAGCGGGATTCGTGTGGACGAAAGGGGAATACAGAACTGGTGATATATGCGTACTTACGGTTACGGTGCTTTGCTGTGATCGGCGTATACAATGCGCATCTTTACCCAAGACCAGACTGCTGTGGCCCGCGTTGTTAGATTTCTCGCGTACAGTGTTCCCTGTATGCGGTAAGTAGATCGAGCTCGTAACGCGCGCATAAATCATGCTGCTGGATTAATCAATCAACCAGAGTTAATTTTGGCACTAAAACATTACTGTTTTCGGGCAATGCAAAATCACCCTCTCACTTCCTAGTCCCATCTTTTCATTACACACATTATCACGGGTAGATCACACGTGAATGTCACCGCGGAAGTTGATACTTAAATTAAATAAAACGATAGCGTGATTCGAAACAAAATCACAGGTGTCTGTCGAGCTGTTGCACATCTGGAGCCGGCGAATACAGCCAGTGCTGGATTGCTGGTCAACGCTTTCCGCGGGAATTTTTGGTTGTTAAGGAATCTTTGTCAGTTAGATTGCTGTACGAAAAAAGCCGTCCAAATTGTACTAACTGTACGCACTACCATAGAGCTCTACTTTTGCGGATACTGTATAACATATTCACTTTCCGCATTGTATCTGTACCGCGCCCATGGCTTAACATGTGCAGGATGAAGCAGCGCTAGCTCTGCTTGGCAGTGAAAGATGTGGCTGCTATAAAGATATTAGATTTACTGATACAAAGTATCTGTTGCTCCAAAACTTGTAGCAATATTCGGGTCACACCAGCAGTACTGCAGAAATCAGAGCTTTATCTCGTTTCAGTTTTCGGTCGGTCACCAGTTTTTTTCTACGTTATGGATTCAAGTAGAAAAAGAATGAGAACTGAGATTAACAAAAAAGAAGTTGACGAAACATTTTCCGTCCAAAAATACGCTGCTGCTACTGCGCGGAGAATGGTTTTAGGCACTTTGTCGCGACTTCAGTCCGATAGCCTGAAGAATAATTACGGCTTTTAATATTATTATGTTTTACTTGTTGAATTTGTAATTGCTGTTGATTTTGATGTGGTGTTAGTACTTAGCTTTCCGCTTCTGTTGCTTCCAATTTCCAAACGTTTCCGTAAATACATATTGGATGCCAAAATAACTGGACAGCAACCTCCCGCGGTTACAGCTTTATCCCTTCCCGGAGCCACGGTTACGTTAACTGGTTAGCCTAAATTCGATATCTGGATCAGGTAAGGAGGACAAATCCACGGGCTCGCGCCCGTGGAAAGGATTTGGAAAGGAAATTGCCATGGAATTCCATGGAATCCGTGGATTTATGGAAATCCAAATGGATTTCCGTAAATCCAAGGATTTCAGTGTTTTCGTTGGAATAGCATTAAATAGCTATTTATTTACATAACTATGAATAAAACACCATTTCAATTGTCGTCAGCTGCTTAATTACTGAGCACTCATCTCTTGAAAATCCATTCAATCCTCCAAACAGAGCAAAGGGACACAGAATTATCTATATTTCGTAAATAAAGACAGTAATATTAAACTATTAGAGTATAGTACAGATACCGCCGGTCTACACTCTACAGTACGTATCATACAGATACAGTAAGTACTGTAAAGTTCAGATTCGGCAGCTGCAGATAGTTACCTACTGAACGCGGTCGTTGGATATCTCGCAGCAAGCTTTTATCTTGTTCAAGAGAACAATACAACGAAATTATCTTTTTTTTAAAAAGCACAGGTATTGTCGTCTTTCATATAGATCAAAGAAGACTTCTTGACCTATTCCACAAAAAAAGAAAAAGGGTAGTTTTGGCGGTTACGACAAAACCATGTTTGAAGTCATTAACTTTCGATATGTATGTTTGTTTTTTGATTAGTTTAGAAAATTAATGACAAAACGGTACTTATACCACCTTGCTTATACTACCAAGTACTGTACCCGAACAGCATTGGGGTAGTGCGGTTAAACGGACACTGGTAACTTATTGCTGATACTGTACGAGTTATGCATGAGTACCAATCTTACAATATGACTTTTTTCGATATCTCTGGCGGGTTGTTTTGTTTACCGGGCAGCACCTGAATAGGGACGGTCATTTTTTAAACAGAAAATATTGTAGTTACCGATTGAAAAACACCAAACAAATTCAGTTTTTAGTTTTTTGCCCGACATTTCTGTGCGTTTGGAATTCCAAATACAAAGAATCTGGAATTCCAAGCGAAACTTGGAATTCCACGGATTTCCTATTTTCCGTTTTCCAAATCCGAGCCGCTCGCATGGAGCGCGGATTTGGAAATTGGATTCCATCCCTGGAATTCCAGTTTCCGTGGACGGTCGTTCCTTAGGATCAGGTCATCTGACTGGTGAAGTCCCTCACTCAGCCATTCGCACGTGTAAATTTTCTCCTCTGAGATCCATAATTTCCTAACACATAGTTAAATCAATCTTTCGTGAATAATTTTTCGAGCAGAACAGAATCTCTTTCCCAAGCGACACTGGATTTAATTGTGTCGATAGAGGCATTGCATTTCGTTGAAGAACCCCGCTCTCGATCCTTATCATCGCGATGTTTATTTACGGGGACAACGAGCACCGCATCGGCGCGTGGAACGCGGTGGACGTCCTTGTCGACGGCCGACTACAGCACGGCGACGTTATCAACGTGGCGGACGGCGGCCTGATCATCGATTTCGGGTGTAGCGCGCAGCGGGCACAGTTCGTCGAATACGGCCGTGTTTTCTGCTGTGATGGTGATTTCAGCTACGGGGCCCACCGCCCGGGTGACACCGTGCTGGTGCTGTTGCGCCAGCATCCCGACGCACCCTGGACATGGTATCCCGGGACGATCGCGTCCCTGGGAGAGTACGACCCAATTTGGGCGCCGTTGGTGGAGGTGCGATTGCCCGACGGCCGCATCATCAGGGAACTCGTCCCAGTGTTTCAGATACGCGAACAGCCCACGGATGAACGCTTGACGGATTTGCGTGTGGAGCCGGAGGATTTTGTCGTCCGTTCCTGTCCGTTGCCAGCGGTTTATTGGGCGGAAGGGTCCCAGGCGGTCCGCCAGATCTTCCAGTGCCGAGTGAGCGGCCGACGCAACCGGGTGCTGTGCATCTCTGTCTTCAACCAGACCCTGGTCTATTTGCAGTACACGGGTGCTGCTCCGCTGACCACCAAGCAACTGGTATGTAGGTTTTTTTATAATGTCGTCGTTGAGTCTCCTTATTTACTCGTTGAGTCTCCTTATTTAATTGTAGGGCAGAAAAATGTGAATTGCTTGTTTTACGTTTTAGTTTTTAATTTTTATATAGCGCAAACAAGCGCTTCGCTGTACGAATCCAGTGCTAGTGGTCTGTTCTGAACTGGATGTGTTCCTGTCGCGCACTATTTATCTATTTATTTTCTAAAGTTTTGAATCGCAAACCTGTCAACTAGAAAGCGGTTTCCTCGTGTACAAAAAATGTGTCTCGATTTTGCCACTGAAATTCTTATCAGTCGGTCTAATAGCGTGGCGGAAAGGGGAAGAATGTCCTAAATTATACGTTGTTAGTGAAGAAATAGCAAAAACACGAGGAAAGAAGATAATAAACGGTTTTAAATTGAAGGTAATTTTTGTAGGAAAAAGTTTATAAAGGAGCGATGAAGGAGACGCCGGATAGCTGCTCCCCAGCTACACTGCAATGGATACGCCGCCACCTAGGGAGTGGTGCCCTAAATGACGCAGGCTGGATTTCTTTACACGACGACGCAGCCGTTAGTGGACGGGAAGTAGCGTTTCCCATTGAAATGTGGCTGGAGATCTTCCAGACGCTGGACACCATCGGGCGCGTCCGCTGTCGCCGTGTGTGTCAGCTGTGGAACAACATTCTAACTAACGGGTTCTACGCCACCGATCTGCGGGTCTCCGGAAACTCAACGGTATACGGAGCCGATTGTTTCCCGCAACATATGTACTGGGTGGTGAACTGTCTGCTGAAATGCCTCAGACCTCGCACCGAGAAAGCGCGAATCGATGGTCTGGATTTGGACGATTGCGAGGACCTCATCAAACTAATAAAGCAGATCCGCAGGGGCAACCGCATCCCGGTGCTGGAGCTGGACCAGTGCCGTTTCGGCGATGACCGGGCGTTCGTCGGCAAGCTGGTCGAGCGCATGGCGCGCTTGGCGGTGGCCTATTCGGGATTAGGCGAGAGCGTGGTGTGGAAGGACTTTACGCTGCAAGATCACAGCTTTTCAGCTGCGGTTAAGGAGTATGCGTTCAAGGACGCGTCCTTCGAAGGTGTGCAGTTGCAGTTGTGGGAGGTTTTCGAGAGCAATCTGGTGCTGGAGAGGCCGCTGGATGGGCAAGGGATCGCGGGATGGATCGCTGACTGCATTGCGCAGCAGCGTCAGGAGACGTTGCAACAGATTGTGAGGGTAGGTTAGGTACAGCTTAGGACAAAATGGTCGCATACCCAACATCTCCACATTCAATACGAATGCAGCGCAGTGCACTGTACGCCTGAGTTCAAAATATCCGTTTCGTACAAGTGCGCTGCACCGCTTGCGTACAGAATGCTGGGTATGGGGCTATGCGACCATTTAGTCCTACATTGTTGTTAACAGTTTCGTTTTTGTATTTGTGCAGTTTTGTCTCATGGTCGATGAGGTATAGGATTAAGAATGCACTGAGAGGCTTCTCTTGGCCCAACCAATAAAATTCTTGGTCTGACTCTTTATGGTGAATTTTTTTGAGATCCAGGTAGAATTTCTTATGTTTTTTCAGGTTTCCGTAGTTTGTGAGGTTTTCTTAGGGTTCTTGGGTGTTCCAGTTTATTTGTTTTCTTAGGCTCCTCAGGTTCTTGAATGTGTTCTTAGGTTACTGTATTTAAAATTTTTCGGTTTCTCGATTTTATTGTTTTTCGAGGAACTTCTGATGTCTTAGAAATCTAAGAGTTCTTAATCTAAGAAACTAAGAAACTAAGAATTTAAGAAACCTAAGAAACCTAAGAATTCAGCAGTGCAGGTTAGACTCTCAGCGCCGGCGGTTGTATTAACGTGGATACTGTCGCAGGCGCTCAACTGGTACCAGAGCCCGGATCCGCGCGCGTCCACACACTACCGCCAGCAGGAGTGGACGCTGTCCACTCTCGGCGAAGTGGATGTCAACCGGCTGACCACGCTGACGGTGGCCGCTCTGCAGGAAGTCAAGGAGCCTTTGGTTACTGCCCAGTCCGGCTTTGTTGAACTGGTAGCGCGCCTGTCGCAGTCTTAGGTTAATTTTTAGCCTCCTTGTTAATTCGTGAAACACCGGCCGAGCATAAACAGTAGTTACTCGTATTCTTGATTTATTTCCAGCCGGTAAGTTCTCCAACTTGTGCGATCAACATACGATTGCTCCTGTTTTACCTTCTTTGCGACGGCATTTTTACATTACTGGACTGATAGGTGTGCTGTTAATATTTCTTACTGCAAGTGCTCACTGTGAAAGTATTTTTCTTGTGAAGCAAGGGGCGAATATGTAGCTACGGTTTTGTTTTGATATAACGATCGAACTTTCGTTCGCAGTAGCTGTTTTGGTTGTCGTTTTTCTCAGATGCAAAAAGTCCTGTTGTACGTTCTTTTCTGTAGGTCTTTTCTGTTCTTTTCCTTTTTTCAGTATTGTCTGACATTAAAGGGCAGTAAAATTAATTTACAGAATACGTACATAGATACAACCGGCATTAATCTTCACTACAAAATCGTGCAAACATACTGTAATCTTGCGCAAGGTTGTTATAATCTGTCTATATACTGTAAATATCTGTACATTAAATAAGTACTGTAACGGAAACCTGGGAATGCTCGGCAAAACAGCCAGAGTATTGGTCAGCTTCCTTGAACGGAAAACAAAGGAGAGGTCCGGGGAATGCAGATCCACGACCTTTTTTAAAACAGCGTATTAGCCTCGCAGTTATTAAAGGAAACGCGGCGGCTGTTTTAGGAACTTTACCGGGCAAGGATAAACTGGCTGATAATACTGATTTCGGTTATTTTTTTAATTCTTAATTGTGCAATGTTGGCCGCAGAGATATGAATTACGACTGTAAAGATATGAATTATGACTGATGCCGAACATCAATAAAAAAAGTACTAGTACTGTAATCTTCCCGATATGTATTGTAACGGTTGTGCCGCTTATGTGTGAAGCAACAGTTTCGTTAGTGCGATTGCTTTATTCGGCCAGTTGTTTCGAAGACGGATGATGTACGGAATCCGTTTTTCTAGCGGCTGTACTTCGTATAACTCGATATAATTTGTCTTCCTCCGCTGTTTTGAGCACGTTATCTTTGAGGCTTTTAGCCCAAGAGAAGATACAGACTTTGGTTATTTTTTTAATGTTTAAATTTCAAGTATGTATCAAGCAGTGTACCGGCGCTCGCAATCATTATCTTAGTGGCTATTGCCGATTAAAGTGTTTATTTCTTGTTTACCAACCGGACTTAACGACAGAGAAGAAGCTGATAATCTCACCTGTTGAACACCAGCAGCGGGATTCGGCTGGTGTGGAGGATGTGCTGAATGAGCGGGACTAAATCATCGGATTCGAATAAAACTATATTCGACAGAGTCAGCCGCTTAGTGCGACTGCTGGGACATTTCAGCAGGCAGCTCACTACCATGTTCATGAGGTCGGAGGAATGCTCCTCTCCATTGGTCTCGGGAGTGCCGGAGACCAGCACATCGGGGAAGCAGTAGGCTCCCAACATAAAACACGTTTCCTGTGCACGCATATCAAGGCAGTGCATATCCGCCGCTTCAAAAACTGACTAGATCGCTTTTCTTGTGTCCTTTGCAAAACGTATTTCACCGAAAGCAGCAATTTTTGACTTGCCTATTTGTCCCATGACCCCGCGACTTCAGAAGCTAGGACGTAAGAATACGAAATTATCCCGTAGATAATCAAGCGACAGGATAGACTCTAATCGATAGGACAGATACTCGTACGGTTTTAGGATATTTATTTTATTCTCCTGATGTCTCTGTCACAGGTATGACTTTAAGCCATGTGGAGACATGGCGACCCTACTCAGCTACATGGACCGCGTGGCGTTGGGATGTTTGTCTTTATGCGAGAGAATGGTTTGGAGGGAATGCTCCTTAGAAAAAGAAGACCGCGTCAAGGCCCATGTGAAGCAACACACCTTAGCGCCCTGTCGAGGGGGGAGATGCAGTTGGCGCTGTGGGATCTCTTGGAGAGGAGTCTTGTGCTCCAGAAGCCGTTGGACCGAAAGGCACTGGAATGGATCACGGACTGCATGGCGCAACAGCGCAAGAACAAGTTGGAGGAGATTGGGCAGGTTAGGGTCACAAATTCTCGCCCGCGTCTAGCTTTGGTATGGTTGCACGAGATGGGTGTATGCAGATGCGACATCTACCCATACGGCTCACAAAGCCACCTCGCGACTGGAGACTAGATTGCTTCGGATTCGGTCAAGCATTAGGTTTCGTAGAGTTTTTGGGCTTCCATTTCCGATTTTCGTAGCTGAGGTTCTTAATTTTTCTCAGACGTCGTCTTTGTGACGGTCGACGCAGTTTTAGTCGGCATTGCTTCGGTGATTCCGCAGTTGCATCCTTTGTGCGATAAACTACTGACATCTGCTTTATGCAGAGTCGATACCGTCCATTCCGGCAGGCAATACTGTATGAACGCGCGTCAATCCTCGCTTTGGTACCTGCAATAATGTATGCAATATGTATCCTCGCTTTGGTACCTGCAATTGAGCTCCTGCAATAATGTATGCAGCCAGCTAACCACGCTGACGGCCTGGCGGCTTTAACGGCAATCATGCAGCATTCCGTGGAGCCTTCCGTAGCCGACTAGAAAGGGCGTCGGAAATTGGCTTTTCCGTTTTTATTTACGAGTACTTTTCCTGCTGATGAATTTGTTTTCTTTGTCTCTTTCTGAAATTATTGCTGCGGCAAGCGACCACGGACAGCTAGTACGAGTACTTACAATATTATTGTTAGATCGCATCATCGTTGTACTGTACTTGTGCTGTCGCTAATTAAATTCGGATATTCGCTGCGATACGCATTAACCACGTGCCGAAATGTGTTGCTCTGGTACTTGCAGTCTGCAGACGTTCGCTAACCGGTAAAAATTTGAAACAATAATATTGTACAGTGCAGTAATAATAAATTGTACAATACTTTCCGCTACTGTGAACGTCCGTAATTATTATTGTCAGTTCAGAACTTCATCTTTTTTTGTTGACAAATATCGCAGACCGATTGACAATGCACCATCGTTATATCCGTGCAAAAATAACAGCCATTTTGCCCGCCGCGGCGCCGCCGAGAGACACGGAAAGACGGCCCTAGCAACGAGGCTGAAATGGTAGCGGAAAAATTAATAATGTCTCGGAATTGTTTTAGGTTGTGGTTCTGTTAAAGGACACCTGTCTTCGCCCAAATCTACACATCTCTTGTGCTGTCCTTATCTGCATCTCATTCTGATCAGATTTGTAAAATAATTCTTCGAGGGTTTATCTGATCAATGAATGACCAAAACTAAACTGTACAGTGTACACGTCCTTACGCAGCTTCCCGTGGTGGCAGGCAGCTCCGTCCGCCCACCGAGCCACGGCTTCGTTAACAAATCTTGGTTTCACTGCATTCGATTTTCTCAAGATCCATTCGAATTTCGGAACATATTTTGGAGAGCTTAATTGTAGAATTATATTAGTCGACGCATTCTTCAAGAATAGTGGACAATCGAGGCGAATTCTTAATTTTCCGTCACATAACTGAACTGCCATAGTGTGTTAATTCAGTTCCATCAGACCATACGCTGATACGCACGATTTCTGGGGGGGCGTGCTGCCGGACACAAAGTATGGCGAAAAGTAACACGTGACACGTCGGCCAGCCTCGCCCCGCCCCCTTTCAGTACTTTAAATGCGCCCCCCCGGCGGTCAAAAATCCGCAAAAGGGGGGGGCGCCCGCCGGTGCGCCCCCTTTCTGGCGGGCCTGTGTGTATCGTAACTTTATTGACAAATGCCAAGTATCGTAACACGATCGGTAGTAACTGAACGAATAGGAAAGTTGAGAAGCGTTGCCAGGAGAGAAGAGAAGACAGTTGCTAAGTAGGAGAAAATATGAAAAGAAAGGAAATCTCGAGAACCAACCACAAACAGAACCATACATCACAATGGGCCTCTGTAACTGTTGTAAATACACCTGGTGCCGGCGTGTACAGCCAGTGGCCGGATGGTTGGTCAACGCTATGCGCCGGAATTTACATTTGTAAGGAAACTCTGTTAAGTAGGTTGTTCTACCGGAAAAAGCTGTCCAAATTGTATTAGCCGTACCGCCTGTCGTATCTGTATCTGTCTAATGCTGCTTTTGAAACGTGTGCACTTGACGCAGGACGCCGATGGTTTATTATGATTATATGCGCTATAAAGCACAGACTTCTGGGGCAATGCTCCGGAAGTGTTGCAGTAGCAGTAGCACGGCCAGAGAGCTGCCAAATGGCGTTCAAAACGGCGCTGCTGGCACTGCGCGGAGACGGTTTTAGGCACGGTCACAGAGTCTGACCTAAGTACGACAGTCCGTGGTGATCTCAGCGAGAGAGGGCGGTCAGATGAAGTCCTGTCTGTTGAGGAAATTCCGCAAAATGGCGATGGAGCGAAATCCAACCGCTGGCTACCGAGTGTGATTCACTAGCACAGCCACTGTGCCGTCGCCGCTGTTGGCGAAGATCAAGATATTTGATCTACACCTATGGCACGGTTAGTACACGTCAAATTTTTTCCGGCATGTGTTTTTAGTTGTATCCACAGTATCCCACCGTATTCCGCAGTATTCTCTGCGTATCCTTCATGTATCTCTCAAATTTTCTACTTTGTTTTAGTTATTGCAGTATCCCACCGTATCTCTGCAGTTTCCTTATGTGCATCCCGAATGTAAGTGTTATCCGGATACTCGACGGATGCAGTAAGAATACGTTAAGATACGTTGGGATACTACAATTGCTGATGATCCTTTAACCTGCATACAGCAGAATACATGAAGGATACGTAAAGGATACTGTGGGATACGGTGGGATACTGGCTACATCACGTAGTATGTATTCGGCACGTATTTCAAATATTGTTAATGTGGACATGCTTTTTAATTAGCGTATCCCACATTATCCCCACGGTATCCTTTGTGTATCCTCCATGTATCCCGTTATTATGTTTTCATAGTGTTCTTAGGTTTCTTAGGTTTTTTAACGGGGTTCAAGTGGGATACATAGAGGATACTGCAGAGATACGGAGGGATACGGCAAAAATCGAACAAACGTCAAAAATTGTAAGGATACATGAGGGATACGTAGAGTTCGAGGATACCGTAGAATACTGCAGGTTACTGTGGGTACAAGCAAAACAACATGCCTCGAAAAATTTACCGTGCACGAAGTCGTTCATATAAAGATAATAATATTGTGCTTGAGCTTGAGCCAACCAGGTAGGTGGCGGATGGGCGGCTGCTTTTTGGATTCAGAGGA